CCCAGGATGGTGAGAGTAGGAACAAATTGAACCAAGGCGAAGATGTGAAGCAGAGAAGTGTGTGTTACGGCACTAGCCATCACTTCACAAAGACCTGGGGAAAGATAACAGGTTGCTTGGCAGGGATATTTATATGACTTATAGACACATGGGTAACATACCTTGGGTGGGAAAAGAGAAATGGATTGCCTAGCTACTTTCTCCTCTTGTCTCTCATCGGTCCACTCCAAAGGAATTAACACCCTTGCATTTTTTGGTTGTGTCATTTAGTTCCTTACATGGCCAATTGGAATGCTTGATTCCATATCCTGCAGTGTGGTGTTTCATCCTAGTCCAGATGGGGCAGGAGCCAGAAGGCCTGGCATCCCCAGGCAAGTGACTAATTAGCCTCCAGTACCAGCATCTTTGGAAGGAAGGGGGGAGTCAGGGGACTCTAAGGAGGTACATGAGGTTTGTATCCAATATAGTCCTGAAGAAACAGACAGGATTCTGAGAGGCAGAGATGAAAGAGGAAGGCATTTTAATATGAGCTGTGACATAGAGGAAGAAACATTGTGCTGCATTTAAGATAAAGCAAGTGCCTTATTAGCTTCAACAGAGATGTGACAATTTCTTAGCCTGGATTTTCTTGGCTTGTAATTATTCTTGAGGGTTTTTTCCCCCCTTTTAAAAGGTACTTCAAATATGTAACTAAATGTTTATTTCTTCATTAAATTTTTCTGTATGAATAAATTACCAATTGGAAAAAATCCTTTATCAGGCCTTTTCTTACAGATGTAGAAATAGGTGAAAGAGGAGGCTGGAAAAGGAAGACTCCAAATGTGAAGCTGTCTTTGATTTGGCCAACAGTAGGGGTCACAGAGGGTCTTGAGCAGGGAATGGGGTATAAAGAGTGAGGGGGAAGGACGATGTGGCTTCAACTATTCCCTGTAGTTCATCATTCATTTCTGCTTGATAGCCTCGCACAGACTTTCCTTTTTGATATATTGGTGGTAACAATAACAGTAGAAATATGAGCAGTAATGGTAACAACCACCACAACCATGGCTCATTCCATTGCTTCATTCACATCTCTGTCCCATGTCACTTTCTCTAAGGCCTTCCCTGACCACCTGATCTAAACTAGCACCTCTTTACCCTGGTTAATCTCTAGCTCCTTGCTGTGCTTTATTGTTTTAATAGCATTAAGCTAGCTGACACTACACACACACACACACACACACACACACACACACACACTCATTTAGTTGTTTTCTATTTACTTGACCAGAAAACTTCATAAACACAGAGAATTTGTCTGTCTTGATCAGTCATTGCCAGTGCCTGGCACTGTTCTAAGCATCTGATGGGGTTCTAACGTAACTTCACTGAGACCAGAGAATGTGTGGACTATATGGTGCTGATTCTTGTAATCTGTTGAGGCTTGCTTTATGGATTAGTTCATTGTCAGTTTTTGAAAATATTCCATGTATTCCTGAAAGAACGTGCATTTTTAAGTTTTTTGATAAAATATCCAGTTTATGTATATTAGCTCAAGCTAATTGTGTTTTTCAAATCCGATTGTTTTGTTAAAGTCTATATCCTTATTAATTTTTTTTCTACTGAATCTATTAATTACTGAGGGAAATATGTTAAATTTCCCCTTGTGATTGTGGATTTGTCAATTTCTCCTTAAAGTTCTATTAATATTTACTTTTCATAGTGTATTTAAGCTTGTGTCATAAGTTGCACACAAGTACAGAATTTAAAAATTTTCCCAATAAATTATTGGTTTATTCATTATGTACTGATACTCTTTATCCTTAATTTACCTAATACTTCTTTTTACCAGCTTTCTTTTGCCTGGAATATCTTTTCTGTCCTCTTGCTTTCAACCTCTGTCCTTATGTTTTTTAAAAAAGGATGTTCTTCGGGGCACCTGGTGGCTCAGTTGGTTAAGTGTCTATTGATTTCAGCTTAGGTCATGATCTTGCAGTTGATGGGTTCGAGTCCCACATCAGGCTGTGCTCTGATAGTGCAGAACTGCTTGGGATTCTGTCTCCCTCTCTCTCTGCTTGTGCTCTCTCTCAAAATAAAATAAGTAAACTTAAAAAATGTTTTTTAAAAAGTGTGTTCTTCATATCAGTTTTTATTTTTTAATTTTTATTATTATTATTATTTATTAAATATAATTTATTGTCAGATTGGTTTCCTTACAACACCCAGTGCTCATCCCGACAGGTGCCCTCCTCAGTGCCCATCACCCACTTTCCCCTCCTCCCCACCCCCCATCAACCCTCAGTTTGTTCTCAGTATTTAAGTCTTATGGTTTGCCTCCCTCCCTCTCTGTAACTTTTCCCCCCATCCTCTCCCCCATGGTCTTCTGTTAAGTTCTTCATATCAGTTTTTAAAAACTAGTTTAGTCCTGTTTCTCTGTGTTTTAATTCATGATTTGAATCCTTTGTGATTAACAATATAGGGAATGTATTTCTACCGTTGTATTTTGTTACATACCTTTTTCTCCTCTCCTTACTTTCTTTTGCTGGTTTTTGAGTGAATGGTGGACAATATATATGAAATAGTGTAGATATGTTGGGTGGTATTTTCTTCTGGAGAGGATCTAATGTTTTTCTGGGTGGTAGTTATAGTAGGGGCAGATCACCTTGAACTAATTGGGTATTGAGTTGGTTTAAGGCTGGTTTGAGACTTTGTGAAGGCTGGTCTTGTTCCAGTATCTAAGAAGTAGTCCTTCAAGGTTTCCAAGACCCAGCCTCATCTTTGTGAATCTACTTAAAGCTCTACTTAGTTTTTAACCTCTTAGCAGCCACCTTCTCCTTACTGTCTTCCCCTAACAATTTAGGATTCAGTAAGTGCCTCAAGGGTAAAAGCCTTGCAGAATGTCACTCACTTCTCTTTTGTTCCCTTTTTTACTGGAAAATTTCCCCCTCAAGTCCTAGCTGCCTTGGTAGATTTGAACTGTAATTTTGGTCTTCTAAGCCAAGGGAAGGTGCTGCAAGCTCTAGCCTAGAGCATTCTGCTTGTGTCAACTGCCCTGAGAGGAACACACAATCTCAAGTGTTGGGCTCACCTCACAGCATTTGCGTTTTCTCCAGGGTCTGGCTCCTCAGGTGCTGACTGCCTAAGTTTGCCTTAGCTGATCTCCGATGTCCTCAAAGACCTGTTGTTGTTTTTAGATTTTACTCAGATTTTACATTGTTTAAATTTTCCAGTGTTCTCTGTACAGCTATGGAAAGTGGGAGACTTAGTGTTAAAGTTACTCCATCATAGCTGAAGCTGAGGTTTTATTTTTGAGTTTTTAATTTCAATCACATTTTTTCCCCTAGAAATTGTATCTGGTTGTTTTTCTTTTTTTCTTTTTCTTTTTTAAAATGTGTATTTATTTATTTTGAGGGAGAGAGAGAGAGAGAGAGAGAGAGGGAGAGAGAGAGAGCATGAGTGGGGAGGGGCAGAGGGATACAGAGAGAGAGAATCCCAAGCAGGATCTGCACCCAGAGCCAAACGTGGAGTTCAAACTCAGAAACCGTGAGAACATGTCCCGAACCAAAACCAAGAGTTGGACTCTTAACTGACTTAGCCACCCAGGCACCCTTCTATCTGGCTGTTTTTCAAATCAGCATCATCTTTTTCTGGATAGTATCCTGTTTCTATTTTGTTTTCTATTCCTTTCTTTATTATTTTAATCTCTTAAAATAAACTTATTTCAGAGTTTGAATCCTTCTGGCTTATCTGAAAATCTCAGGGGTATAATTTTAGTGTGTGTTATCTGCTGACTCTTAGTTTGCATTTGCTTCTGGTAGATGCCCCAAGAGGGTATAAGCAGCTGAGAACCAATTTTTATGTTAATTTCTTGGCTTGGGATTTCTGAAGCCATACAGCTGTTGCATATTTGAATCCCAAATGTGAGTGAGCAGAGAGGTATGGTTACAGAAAAAAAAGAGATTTTTTTCTTTCCTTTTTTTTTTTTTTTTTTTTTTTTTTTTTTTTTACCACTCAGAGTTCAGACCTGTACAGATAAACTTTTTTGTCATTTTGTTTACTTGTGAGTCAGTGTTTCTTGGGTCATCCTTTCAGTTAAGGTACAAACCACTAATGGGTCTCCACATTACATGGACTCAAGGTCTTGGCTCTTATTTCTATGAGGCCGTTAAAACTGGCCCATTGGTTGCTGACCTTAGCACACCCCCTGGGGCAGCTGAGAAATCGGTACCTACTGCCCACTCGGATTTTCAGTATTTTTATATAAAGCCTCAGGAATTTGTTTCATTTTCTTGTAGGCTCGGCTGTGCATATGTGAAGATATTTGTACACTTTATGACTCGTTTTTAGATGTTTCTTAGGTAAATGTTTTCAAGTTGTCTAGTTCTTCATAATTCCGGAAACAAAAGTCTTAACTGACGTAATTTATATTGCTGGCTTATACAGTCAGACTTAATAAATGTTACCTATTATTAAATATCACCATCACCATTATTATTTCCACAAACACATAAAACCTGAACATTTTGATTTAATACATATAATAGTTTATATATATATAATATTTCTAGAATATGAAACTATTATATGTTCTACAAAAATATGTTATATGTAAGTATAACATATAATATGTAATAGATTATCTATAGTAGATTGTAAAACTTTATGATAACTGGTCTGTCCACTAAGTGATGGCTAGTACATACAGTACTATGTATATCAGCTACAGAAACACAATAAAATTTGAAACACAGTGAACTATTGAAAGAGTTTAAACCACATCACTCTTCTCCCAACTACAAGTTCTGCTCACTTAAAAAATGTTTTTTAAACTCTTATTTCCTTAGGGGAACTAGAAAATGCTGTGGATTTGTAGCTTTTAAGCATTGAAAGACATATCTATGGGACTATGTATTTATGTGTGAATCACTTCACATATACCTATATATATTATTTATGTTAGGAATAAAAAATTTTATATTTTGCATGAAATTCTATATCTTGTTTTTTTTGCCTTTTTGTAGGAAGATACTTCATCGAGACTTGAAATCAAAGAATATATTTCTGAAAAATAATCTGCTTAAAATTGGTAAGATTTTTTGAAATATGTATTCCAGAAACATGGGAGAGTATATTCTAGATATTATCAATAAATATATCACATTGAAGTATATCGTATCTAGAAGTGTTAGAGTAATTTCTGGCTTATTTTTAACTTCTCAAACTTTTGTTTTTTCTTGGTTGAGGCCAAAAGTCCCAATTATTTTGTTTCCAAGTATCTGATGTAAATTGAAGTGTAAGACATTTGCTATGTACTTGATAATTGAACTAATAATTTTTGAGTTTCTTACTCCATGCCAGGCACTTTGCAAGTAATTAGACTTGTTTTACTAGTTTGATTAATTAGTACAGGTTTTCCACTTATTTTATCACAAGCAACTGGCAGTTATCACAGATAATTAAAATGTTGATATAATAGATTTGTTAATTTTTAGTTCTTCAGAACCATGCTTCCATTCATAATGGTTACTGGATTGTTTAATATTCCTGTCAGATGTTCTTAGAAAGGGAAAGCATAAAAGCATGTAACTAGTTAGGTGAGTAAAGAGAAGCTAATAGATTCAAACTTTTATAGTCATGTTCTTCAAAAGTCTCAGGTCTTTTATATGAAATTTTTTCTTTATTGTAAATGAAGAGCAAACACTCCCCCCTCAGGTGCAATTGCAGAGCATTATATTCAGCCCTTCCAGAATAATTTTGTTTGTTATTTCAGACCTGAAATAGCTTTTTGTTTCAAGTTGCTGGTTCTCCATAATTCCAGAAATAAAAAGTTTTAGCTTTTCTGGCTCAAAGTCTTATTTCTCCTATAAGGCCTATGTTTTGTGTTTATGTGGTTTTTTTTAATGTTTATTTCTTTTTGAGAGACAGAGAGGGACAGAACGTGAGCAGGGGAGGGGCAGAGAGAGGAAGACACAGAATCCGAAGCAGGCTCCAGGCTCCCAGCTGTCAGCACAGAGTCCGACACGGGGCTGGAACTCACAAACCGTGAGATCATGATCTGAGCCAAAGTCAGACACTTAACTGACTGAGCAACCCAGGCACCCCTAAGGCTATGTTTTTTAAAACTATTCACCAGCATTGTGTAATTTAAAAGATATTATTTTTCTTCTCTTTTCCTTTAAAACGGTATGAGTCATTGCATATTTAAAATTGTCAAATTAGACAGTTGTTAATTTCCACGCTGGTTTTCATTGTTTTAAAGTATTTGTAAAAATTAATTTTTATTTCAAGGGGATTTTGGAGTTTCTCGACTCCTAATGGGATCCTGTGATCTAGCCACCACTTTAACTGGAACTCCTCATTACATGAGTCCAGAGGCTCTGAAACACCAAGGTTACAACACAAAGTCAGACATCTGGTGAGTGGGCAGTGGGCTAGTCCTGATGACGTATACATCTGCTGCACTGGGAGAACAATGCATTTTGGTTTTAGGCTCATTTACTTGCTACATCCACTCACTTTATTTTTGAAGTATGAGTCATTCTTTGACCAGAGTAAAGGAGAGTTTTTTTGGATTTTGAACTTGCTATTTTCATTATATTAATTTCAAAAACTCTCTTTATTTACAGGTTAATTGGTTAGTTTGGATTTTTTTCTTCTTGAACCGCAAGGGAAAGTTATTAATGTATCATAAACATTAAATGTTGATAGATTTCTGCTAGCCTATTATATAGAGTAGTTATAATCTTAAACACTGTGCTTTATTTTATTTAAGATTAGCTTCCACTTCTGTGGAGAATGTACAGCTTTATTTTTTTTTTTTTTCAACGTTTATTTATTTTTGGGACAGAGAGAGACAGAGCATGAACGGGGGAGGGGCAGAGAGAGAGGGAGACACAGAATCGGAAACAGGCTCCAGGCTCTGAGCCATCAGCCCAGAGCCCGACGTGGGGCTCGAACTCCTGGACTGCGAGATCGTGACCTGGCTGAAGTCGGATGCCTAACCGACTGCGCCACCCAGGCGCCCCCAGCTTTATTTTTTTTCTTCTTGTTGCATATAAGAATTTTTACTGAAGATACTAGCTTTTAAGAATAAATGTAAATTAAAAAATGTCTGGGTTTTCAATGATAGATGCATCTGAGATTTCTCCATTTATATGTGCTCTTGTACCAAAGGAATCTCTCATTCTTTGTCATGGAACCAGTCAAATCTCAGTACAGAAGCCTCGTGGAAAATTGTATTCTATTGTTAGCAATAGATCCTATTTAGGGAAAATCTCTTCTCTTTGAAGAGGAATCATATAATTTTCAGCTTGTTAAGGGTTGAAAGGACAATCTAGTTGAGAGCCTGTTAATTAAGTAAATAATTATTGTATGCAAATCAACTTAAGTACTTCTGCGCTTTCAAAGATGAGCAGTGTGAAAGATTATGTCTACTTCATTCTTCTAAAGAAGATAAAGTAGAAAGTTACCTTTCCTGCAGCTAGGGAAAAGTAAGCACAACAGTGGATATGACTTTGGATTTTCACAAGGGTCATTACTCGTGTTCTTGTTCTGGTGCCTCCCAAGTGGGAGAGAACACTGTCAACATTAGGTCTGGCTATGGCAGATAGCCATCCATCCTGTCCCTTCAGTTCATTCTTGTGATTATTCATTTCTACATTCTTCAGTGGTTTTTATTTTTTCATTGTTAGCCCATTTCTACCCTGATGGTCTTTTCCAGTTTACCTACCATCTTTCCTCTATCATAACCTTCCCCTAATACCCTCCTCCCAAAACAAACACAAAATGAACAAAAACCACAAAGGTATGTTCCAGGAAATGAGTTTCTTTAGATTTTGCTTTATCGAGCATCTACTACTAGATGCCCCTTAGGAAGTCTTCTTGCTCTTTTTTGAGTAGCTTTCTTCAGTTCGAGAAGATCAATCTTGGGCTTTGGATTGGATTTGGGTTGCATATTTACAACTCTCTTTGCACTTAATTTTGTTTATTATTTGGACATTTAAAAATAGGTTCAAATCTATAATTTCTTCATAATTAAAATTACATGGTACGTCAGGAAGATGTTACATCCTTTCATTTGAATTAAGAATAAATTAATTTATGAAGCCCATTGCTAAGCCTTTGGAATTACATGTAGCAAGAAGGCTGGCTCTTTTGGTCGGGTATCTACATCTGCTTGCCGAATCAGATGTAGGTCTCCTCAGAAACTTGGGCAACAGGACCCACAGACGGAAGAGTAAAAAGCACACAGTTCTTTTGGTCTTCATTGGGTCTATTGTAGTTCTTTTTTTACAATCTGCTCTTTTTTTTTTATTTTTATTTTTAAAAAATTTTTTTTTTCAACGTTTATTTATTTTTTGGGGGACAGAGAGAGACAGAGCATGAACGGGGGGAGGGGCAGAGAGAGAGGGAGACACAGAATCGGAAACAGGCTCCAGGCTCCGAGCCATCAGCCCAGAGCCTGACGCGGGGCTCGAACTCACGGACCGTGAGATCGTGACCTGGCTGAAGTCGGACGCTTAACCGACTGCGCCATCCAGGCGCCCCTACAATCTGCTCTTAGGGGCACCTGGGTGGCTCAGTCAGTTAAGCATCTGACTCTTGATTTCAGCTAAGATCATGATCTCATGGTTCATGAGTTTGAGCCCCACATCCGCCTCTGTGCTGATAGCAGAGACCCTGCTTGGGATTCTCTCTCTCTCTCTCTCTGCCTTTCCCCCACTCACACTGTGTTTCTCAAAGTAAATAAATAAACATTAAAAAAAAAACCCTGCTCCTAATATTGCAAAAGAATTATAGGAATATCAGTATTGCATAAAGAATTATAGGAATATTCCTAATATGGGAATTATAGGAATATCATAAAGAATATAGGAATTATCAAGAATATCAGAATTACAGAGCTATAGAATAAGAATAGTATTGCTATAATGTTTTAAGCTTATAAAAATGGTATTTGTCTCAGACAAAACTTAAAAAAACCTAAAACCTCCCAAATATAAAATTGCAGGAGAATTTTAATGTATTTTTTGTGAGCATTAGGTCAGCTCTCCTTGCAGATATTATTAACTATTCAGCAAGTACAAGCTAAGGACTTATCATCACCCTGACCCCAAATAACCACCTTATTATGAATTTGGTAATTACCTTAGTTGTATCTGAATCAAAACAGGCTTATCTGGTAATGAAATTTCTATTGCCAAACCTAAAGTGGAAAGAATAACAGAGAACTATTAATTATAGTGGCATATACATAAGTGTGATGAGTAATCTTTGGGAGGCACTCAGAAAAAATAGATTGAATGGGGTTGAGAATTTGTTTTCCGAATCTCAGTGTGTAGCATATGTTTACTGTGGAATATTTGACATATTTGGAAATACTTGTGAATAATTGACAGGTGTTTTGTTTAAACACTAATAGCTGTACTTATGATATCTATAATACTTAATGAAGAATTGGTATACTACTAATTATATTTCATCTGCTAATGTTTGCCCATTTTAACCTTATCCTCTTTCTGCAATCTGTTAAACCTTTTGGGATTCATTTATTTATAGCAATCAAGTAAAGAGAAGTCTCTCTCTTAAAAGTGGGTGAGGTTCCAAAAGTTTATAAACACTAGAAGGTTAAGATAATTAGGTTCATTGAGAGCAGTACTTTGAACACTGCTGATTTGTATAAGCAGTTGCTGAACACTTATCCCCCACAGAAGAAATATAATATAGGAGTTGGGTTCCTAGGCCAGCTCTTGAAACTGATTTAAACTTTGAATAGTTAGAATTTATTGTTTTGGTAGGAGAAACAAATAAAGGACAATACTATTGGAATAATGGTTCTATAATTAAACAGAAAAGAAACAGAATATTTCATTGTTGGACTTATCTCTCTTGTGAAAGGCAACCAGATGGCTCTTTAATCTTGTGCCCCTATGTTCTTTGGACAATTTTAGTGGAGGGAATGATGGTGGGCATAGTAGGGGTATCAGAGTGTAATGCGAAGCTCTCAGGATTTTTCTCAGAGATCTGCTCCAAAGGTTGGCTGCTTAAGAGACATGGTAGGAGTCTAGTTCACACTCTAAGTCAGACTTTAGTGATGTTGGGCAGAAATGTCAGACAAGGCTTAGCTACAGGTAGAAGAAAACAAAGAACTGGCACCTGCCTGATCTACCAGAACTAAGAAAGTATCCTCATAGGAGAGCGTTCCCAAACTGGACAGGGAAAGGGGCCAGAGTGGAGAACGAGTCTGTTTTCTGGTGAAGGATTGAGGAAACCAAGGCCAACTTGGCAGTAGTGCGTGTAGCTAATGTGGGGCCTGCAAGTAGCTGGCAGCCAACAGCTCCATCTTGGTGAAGGAAGCTCTGGAGCAAGAGAGCCCATTTCTCTCACCTTCCCATGGTCTGAGAAATTCTTGTGTGGATTTAGAACTAAGCTGTTAGGCAAGGAATGCCTTCCTAGGGAGTGACAACTGGTGTCAATATTTTCACCCAACAGAAGCGAAGTAGGAAAACATTTCAGTCAAGTGCAGTAGATTTGGATATTAATACCTGCTTTCAATGACTAGCATGAAATGACTGATATAAAATCTGGAGATAATATCCAGCCTGGTCAGTTTTACTAAAGTTCATAATACAACCGCAGCAACAGAACCAGAATTGTCTATCGAGTGCATACTCTGTGATTGACAGTTAATGTGCTAAACACTTTATCCAAATAAGTGTATTTGTCACTACAAAAAAAAAAAATCATACAGTTTATAATTTTACAACCTGCTTTTTTTCACTTAGCAAAAGGAAATATTGCTCTGCATTAACAAATGTATCTACATATCATTTAAATGTTTGCATAGTATTCTATACTTGGATACAATCATTTTTTTCAACCAGTAATGTTTATTAAGCATTATTTAATGTTTTCTTTGAAGATTTTATCTTTGTTTTTGTATTTAAGCATTTTTAGGGTGCAGTGTATATGGGTGTGGATTTGCATTTATCCTACTTTGAGTCCGTTGAGCCTCTTGGACATATAGATTGATGTATTTCCTCAGATTTGAAAAGTTTTCAGCCATTATTTCTTTGTGTATTTTTTCTTCTCTTTTCTCTCTCTCCTTGCCTTCTGGTACTCCCGTTATGCATATGTTGGTGTGCTTCATGGTCTCCCACACTTCTCTAAGGCTTTATTCATTTTTCTTAATTTTTCTCTGTGTTCTTCAGATTGTATAATATCTGTCTATCTATCTTCAAGTTCATTGATTCTTCTGCTAATTAAAGTCTACTGTTGAGCCCCTGTAGCGAATTTTTTTCTTTCAGTTATGTTACGTTTCAACTACAGAATTTCTATTTGGTGCTTTTTTTTTAGTATAATTTCTTATCTCTTTACCGATATTCTTCATTTGGTGTCACATTTATATCATACTCT